GACTGCCATGTTCATCAGGTAATATCAGAAATGCCTGATTTCCCATCTCCCAAGAACTACTTGAGAAGGCACCTGTAACTAAGGAATCTTCAGCTAAGAAGCATCTATCAAAGGAACTGCTTAGATTCTTTTTCTGTTTGTAAAGCTCACTTGATTTGGAGTTACTGATAATAGTAGCATATTTAACATTGGACTGCCGTGTAATTGCTCCACTGACTTTGTCATCATGGGCACTCTCAGAGAAGCTGTTACTATTGAAATGGCTGCTAGAACAAGCAGAGTCATGTTCAGAGTCTTGATTCTTTGTAAACATTGAATCAATTACTAAAAAACCTTGTGTGTCTTCTTTTTTCAATGCTTTAGTAACACTGATGTCTTCCAGCACTATTTCTGGTTCCAGAAGAAGAGGCTCAAATGACATTGCTTCAGGGTGCTTGACAAAAAGATGCTCTAAAGTTTCAGGCTAGAAGAAAAGATATATTTTAATGCTCATCATCAGTATGAAGCTACTGATTTTAAGAATCACAGACAAAAAAAATCCATTGTTTTAACGAAGAGCATATATTTGAAAAAATTACCTAAAGCACGTGTGTGTGCGCGCGCGTGTGTGTGCGTGTCTGTGCGCGTGTCTGTGCGCGTCTGTGTAAAGTGAGTGAAGAGTGAGGCAAAAGAAAGCAAGAACCTCTTTGTGCATCAAGGGCTGCAAAGCAAGCATTCTGTGAAGTGCTCAACACTCCAGCCAAGAAAGCATCATTTAAGCTGAAACAAAAGCAGCTGACTGGTCCCATTCATTTCAACATTAATAAACATGCACGTATTGTTAAAAACACATGTAAGTGCTTTGCAAGACAAAGGTCTCATACCCTTAGATTTGTTTGGCATTTTATTCAGATTATATAAGTCTAAATCGTTTACACATCAACTAAAATGACCTTCCCTGTTAGGATTACGTTATTTAGGGTGAAATTCAGCCATAGCATTTTTAGCGTATTTCCATCTGAATAATGGCTCTATGTCTGAGCTGCATGAACAGAAACACACATTTATGTAGGAGAAAAGTACTCTTTACCATATCCCTAGTATATATGCTTGTAAAATATACAACAGCATGAACTGACAGCAAACTGGAACTCCTAGCTACAGAGAAAAAATTCACTTGAAAAACATACTGCCTAATGAATTCAAGACACATTTAAACAGATAAAAACACAGATCTTGTGTATATTAGGAAACCATATTTTACAGCAGGAAAGCTGCCAAAACAACTAAGAACATGTCAAAATACTTAAAACTAGTATACAATTACAGAAAAGAGGATCCTAACTTACCTATCTTAGGCTACTACTTTTAGTCTAGGCTAGCTACCAGTAATGTCTATGGCCCTCACGCGGCAAAGCTTGCAAGCAGGTTTCTAGCTTCTTTGGGACTTGCCCCACACAAGTCCATCACCCTCCCAAACTGAAGCTAACTGGTACATTGGAATCTCTCCTGGTCTTTGAAATAACGTGAATAGCCACATATAAAATTAACCAGATACTGAAATGAGCTGTGGACAGCTACTGTGCTATATAGAGCAAGCCATAATAATAATAATTTATATTGCCCAATGAAAGCTTCTTCCTCTATGACAGGTTAGCTATGAATTCACACAGGAACAGAGGCCATTACTGTGACAAAGCAGACTAGCAGTCTACTCAGTGTATATTACCCACACCGGCATTTTCAAGAGGAAGACATACAGCAGGCAGCCTAGGAATAACCAAAAAATGTGTGTTTCCTCCTGACACGCCTATCCTCCTAAACTGGCAGCTGACTTATCTGAAGCTGGCACCTGAATAGAGATGCATTATGTTCCTTCTAAAACTGCTTGCTTCCTCACCCCAACCTCCACCATCGGCTCTTATAAACGCATATGGTTGCCACAGAAAACGTATCAATAATATTGCCTGCAAAGATTAAATACATCCCCTTTGAAACCAGGTATGTTGCGCTTGGCAAAGGCCATCTGCCAAATCAGACACATCACTTATTAAAACATATTTAATATTTAATCAAATACAATGCATAATCCAATCTCCTGAGAAAAACTACACCATATCAATAATTACGGAGTATACTGCGTGAATACACTGTAAATATTTCTACAATATATGGTATAATTTGGGCACAAATTTTGTTTAATAACAGGCAAAGTAGTTCCATAAAATCCAGGAGAGCAATCACAGCTTTAGGTCACCAGTTCCCAAATTCTGCTCGCCAGAGAAAACAAGATCCAAACACATAACGAATTTCAAGCAACATTACATTTCGCTCGCCTGTTCGATATATTTTGCTCTCCTGTTCAGCCTAGATTTCAACCCATATTTGCTCCATAAGCCCCGTCAGAAGGTCTCATAATCAGCAGACTACCTTGGAGCCGTCAGCCAGTTATCACTGCCCGAGACAGGTCAGAGTCAAAATTAATTTGCACTTAGTTGCTAAATGCAGAGATTTCAAAATGCATTATTGGCCTAATTCTCCCCAGATCAGATTGACTTGCATATACATTTAACTTTACATGCTGCAAATAACACCCCATGGACTTCAGTAGGGCAACTCAAATGTGCATGAATCTTGGCAGGATTGATATTAATTTCCTACAACATTAGGTCCTACAACTTAATTTTTTTTTTCCCACTACTTTATTGAGCAAATAGCAGGAATTTTCGTGATCCTGATGTTATGCATACATGCAAAAGCTTGTAGGACTGCTGCCTAGATGCAAGACTTGCCTTTTTTAGATTATAATTTTACCCTCTTGCTACTATGCGCAATACAATCATGATAAAATAATACTTTATAAATGCAATTCTGGAGTACCAAATACCAAATCTGCTATATTGAATATACAAATTACTGATCAGATGTTGACTCAAGGATTGACTATTAATAACCATCAAGACAAAACAGGAGTTCTACATAAAATGTCTTCACAAAGACATCAGACGTTTCCGGTAGGGATATACAGGATATTACCACTACGGAAAATTACCATACAAATGCTGTACACTGCTCTGTCTACTGGAAATCACATGCTCACATACAAAAGCAGAATCTGGCCCTAACCACACCGTTTCAAAAACGTGTTCTGGTCTTGGACGCTCACAGAGTGAGAGATGATCATGCTCATCTGAGGACAGGCACTAACTAACTGTGCCTTCAGTGCAATTAACATTAAGCAACATTTTTCAGTAAGATTAGTAGAACGTACCAAGGAGGCATGCTTTCTGCTGCATAACAAGCCGTCAAAAATCATGTCAAACTTCAATTTCTTTCATACTTGCATGCATCATTTCTTTTCCATCAATTATGGATTCAACAAGGCATATGAATATGGAGCAGTGTCACCAGGGTGTCAGCTTGGGCATGACTTTATTGCTAGTTAAAACTTCATCAACTTCAACAGACTTATTTCACTTCTACCAGTCGGTGAGGAGAACCGTGTCGAACATACCACATCCAACATGCAAATTTCATGCACCTTTGCAATGTGGGATAGTGAGGACTGTCA